GGGTGTGGCCAGGTGGTCATGTGACTAGGTGGGCATGACGAGGTGGTGGTTTTTTTTTTACCCCTTTCACAGCACCCCCCCTGCACCCTGTTTTTTGCCTACTGGGCCTCAGGGAAACCTCCTGGAGAGATAAGTACAACAGTGAGGGAGGGATCAGTTGTGCCGCGTGATTTAGATTAGCGAGAAAGCAAGAAATCCAATGATTTCCTGCTTTCTAGCTAGTCTAAATCGCGCGGCACAGCTGATCATCGGAAATACCATTTCAGCCGAACCAGTAGCATTTTTTACTACCAGTTTGTCTGAACCGGTCTGAACCGGTAGAATACCACCACTGGTGCAAATTTGAACCTCTCTATGCATTGTTATGAAACCAAATGGACACCGTTGTAATGAAGAGGATTGTGTTGCTGACAAAACCCTCCTCTCTTCCAGAGTTTGACTTACAGGAAGCCCTCAATTTACAACTATGTATTTAGTGATAGAAAAAAATGGAACTTGCAACCCGTCCTGGCACTTACAACTACTGTAGCATCCAAAGGATGATCAAATTTAGATACTAAGCAACCAGCATATATTGTATTTTTGAATATGTGAAGGAGTTATTCGACCTAGGCTTGTGGGTGGTGAATGCTTCCCTCCAACCTTAAGCTCACAAAAGTGTGATTTCAACCACAATTTTCAGAGAAGGGTTAAAGCAGGACAAATGACTCGCCTCTCAGTGTGTAGTAAATAGCTGCCTGATTAAAAACGTTTTTTATAATGCAGAACGCAACCATGCGTAAGTCTGAATAATATGGACAGTGGAAGGTTACTGCACAATCCTCATTCCCTCCCCACGCCCCTAATCTGCTTCCCAGCTCCGTTCTCCTGTGCAGGGCAACCAAAGAAGACCCAGCTGATCAGCTGGGACTCAATGGGAGGCAGGGAATAGATGGGGTTGGCGGGGCCAGTCAGAGTGGCATTGGCCAGTTCTCTGAACTACTCAAAATTTCCACTACCAGTTCTCCAGAACTGGTCAGAACCTGTTGAATACCACCTCTGCAGGGGTATCAAACTCAATTTCATTGAGGGTTGCATGAGGTCTGTGGTTGATCTCGGAAGGGCTGAGTGGGTGGGAGTGGCCAATTGGGTGGGTGTGGCCAGTTTGACTCCCCTCCCCAAACTGCTGGGATGTTTCCTCTTCCCATTAGGTAGACTGGGCTGATCTCTTTGCATTGAGTAGACCAGGATGGCCCCACTGGCTGGATCCATCCACATTGCGGGCCTGATCCGGCCCTTAGGCCTTGAGTTTGACACCCCAGTCATATGCAGATGGGAAGTGGGGTGATCAGTGTTAAAAATCCAGAAATGTGGAAGAGGAGATATGAACTTGAATGTTGGACTTGATGAAGGGATGTTGCAAAGGAGGGCAAAATGTCAAGGCACAGAGATCTAATAGATAATCAGAGTTGGAAGGGACCTTGTAGGTCATCTAGTCCAACCCTCCATCCAAGCGGGAGACCCTACACCATTTCTGACAGATGGCAGTCCAATCTCTTCTTGAAAATCTCAAGTGATGACTCTCCCATAACTTCCGAGGGCAAAGTCTGTTCCATGGGTTGATAGACCTCACTGTCAGAAAGTTTCTCCTTATTTCCAGGTTGAATCTCTCCTTGTTCATTTTCCATCCATTCTTCCTTGTCTGGCCTACAGGTGTTATTGTGCAGCCTTCAATCATGAGACAATCCCCCCTTGCAGCTTTTTCGCAGCTCTGGTTGCACTCAGGGTGCACATCTGTGGGTGGGTTTGATGGTTGACATTGCTTTTGATGGTTCGTGGGTTTGCAGCTGAAAGCTTTTGAACACATCTCTCTGGGCAGTGAATTAGAAGAAGCAGCTGAAAAGGTAAAGAGAAGGTGGCAAACAACTTGATGTTTTTCAGTTGGAAAGGAACGGCTTGGGAAAGTCGAATGTTATATTGGTTCTGGGAACAAGCTACTTTAGGGATAGTTAACTTGCTTTAAGAAAACTTGGTTTAGCTGGCATTTTCCCCCCATACTCTGTCCATTAATCAGAGGTGTGTCCATTAAATCAAAGACTTCTCCATAAATATATATAATGAGGATTGTATACTTTGAGGTTTGACTGAAAATGACAGCATTTACATAATTTGGCATAGACAGTGTATTTTGACACAAATGAATATATATATCATGGCCATCTATCTGTCTACTCTACCTACCTACCTACCTATCTACCTATCTCTATCATCTCTATCCCTTTCTATCATCATCATCTCTGTACCTACCTACCTACCTATCTCTACTGTATATCTGTCTGTCTGTCTATGAAACTATAATCTATCTCTATCTATCTACAGTATCTCTATTTCTATCTACCTACCTACCTATCTATCTCTATCATCTCTATCCATCTTTCTATCATCATCATCATCTCTCCCTACCTACCTACCTACCTACCTACCTATCTCTATCATTATCCATCTTTCTAGCATCATCATCATCATCTCTCTACCTACCTACCTACCTACCTACCTATCTATACTGCATATCTGTATCTATCTGTCTGTCCATGAAACTATCTCTATCTATCTACAGTATCTCTATATCTGTCTGTCTGACTGTCTGTCTGTCTCTATCTCTACAACATACAGGTTTGATAAGTCACAGAGAAATCAATTTATGTCCTATTTTACCACACTCCTGCTTGTGTGTTTGATTCCTCCCAGGATTCAGCCACACCCTTCCTCTGACAAGTCTCTTCCTTTCCAGGCAGCCCTTGTCAGGTTGCCAGTGCCTATTGTGTCACTAGACCTGTCTGAATCTCAAAGGGCAAGGCTTAGTCAGGCAGGAAAATCCCTCAGAGGATGTCACAGATGCAAATCAGGTGAAGAAAGGGATGTCAGAAAATTGTCTGGGTTTAATGAGATGCTGATAAAAATGGAAGTGAAGAATTTAAAGATAAAACAGAAGGCGGGTGAGGTGTAAAGCATCTCTTACCCTTTCGGAAGTTGCTAAAATAAATTTGGAGATGCTTTGAAGCTGTTTAGCTCACTGGCGGCAAAAAGCGTCTATTTGAGAGTCTCACGCTCTGATAGGGGAAAAAAATCCTCCAGGTGACACAGATAGGGGACCTTGTGGGAGAAGAGTAGAGGCCCCCCCATTTTAACCTATTCAGAATTTGAGGGCCATCAGAAACCATCATGAAATCAATCAGATTTCAGATTTCCTGAAGGAAATCCACCCTGAATGTCCTTTTGAAGGACAGATACTGTCAGGTACTGACAGATACTTTTGAAGGACAAATATGTTGGCCACCAAGTGAGAAGACCTTGATGTTGGGAAAGATGAAAGGCCAAAGGAGAGGGGGGCGACAGAGGAAGAGATGGTTAGACAGGGTCATTGATGCAATGAACATGATTTTGAGGAAACTCCAGGAGATAGTGGAGGACAGGGAGGCCTCATGTGCTATGCGTCAGGTTCTGACAAATGCTCTCATCAAATCATGAGCCTCGAGCCCCTGGGTGTGTCATAAATCACGTTCTCCAACCGGAGCAAGGTCAGGGCTGGTGTGTCATAAATCATGTTAGCCAACAGAGGACTTTTGAGGGCTCTAGAGATCACGCCCCTTCAACTGGATCGGTAACCTGGGATACAGCCTTGGTAAGGTATGTGTGGAATGTACTTCTGGTTTTGATTGCCTTGCTGCTCCTTCAGGTCTTTCCCCACCCTTCCTATGGCAACTTGAAAGGAGTCCAGGAGTGCTTTATGAGTTGATGCTATCGTCCATGAAGTTGCAAAGAGTTGGACATGACTAAGTAACTGAAGAACAATAACAAGAAGCCATAATGATGTCCTGCATGCCAGGACATTAACATACATTGACACAATTGGGTTATTTTTGTGTTATTTGCTTGATGATGTCATGGTATGTTTGACATCAATTATGGGAGTGCCTGTCCCTCCCCTCCCCTCCTATGTGTAGGTGTTGTGTCTACTGTGAAGGTGAACAGGTAAAAAAATTTTGTTGTGCCACAGACACACAATTTTGATAGATACATTGTTAAATAGCACACCCATATTTTTTTTTTCAAATGTAAGAATGTGCCCCTTTTGCTCTATATCTACAGCACACAATTTAGCACTGGAATGACATCTCACTTCTGTTCAATTGATTTTGAACACACAATAGATACAATGTGGGAATGTATTCTTCAGTCTGGGCTGTGAGTCACAAATCTTTGTTGTCTGACCCAGACAGAGATAAGGCTTGATATGGAATGTGCTCAGAAGTTTTTATTAGCATGAGATCACGCCAGGTGGCTCAGCCAAGTCTGAAAAGGATTGCTGTGCAAAGGTTCCTCTTGTCTGCCCAATCATAATGCTATGTGGAAATGTTGGAATTCATTGTTGGAATGTATTTCTATGCAACAACTACAGTAGTATTCAGTCAGTAGATGGTAGTATTTACAAGTTTGGATCTGTAATATATGTTCTATGCTCTTTTGTTCTAAGTAGAGTTTCCTTTTTCTTCTCACAGTTAAACAGTTGAACGGTAAAGCACATGGTGACTGTACTCCTTTTTGCTCTGTGGTACAATATATAAACAGAATTTCTAACAGGAAATGACCTTGGGAGATCAAAGGAAGAGCTACAGATTAGAAAATATTGAAGCAAACTGCAAATGGTAAATGTTTTAGAAGAGACCACAGCTAGTTTCTTGGACCTCTGTGGAGATTCTCAGTCTGAGGAATTCTTCACAACTTGTGGTTATTCTAACTGGGCCTTGGTCAAATCCCAAAAAAGACCCAGCGAGAGAGGTCTCTTTTCTGTAATGGGCAAGAAGGTTTTTTTTTTGAGAATGAATACCATGTGCCCTGTGAGATTTTTTTTCCAATCATGTGGCTAAAACTGCATTTGGTGTTGAAAAACGCTGATCAGGATTCTTACATTCTGCTTTCAGTGCATACGAGTTCAAATTTTGTTCTTTTCCTTTTTCCAGTGGTGCATTTTCTGAAGTCGTCCTGGCTGAAAACAGGAGCAGTGGAAAGCTCTTTGCAGTGAAGTGCATCCCCAAGAAAGCCCTGAAAGGGAAGGAAAGCAGCATAGAAAACGAAATTGCCGTTCTTCGAAAGTAAGGACCTAAAATATCATTTACTAGCTGTATACTCATGCTTCACTACAAAACTATGTGATCGGGCTTCATTTTTGGGGAGGAAAATAAGGTGGTGGTGGGGGGGGAAATTGTGCCTCTGCCTAACAGCATCTATTGGTATTCATCTGGCTAGCATCCTATCAGTGTGTGAGCGCGTCGAGGGCTGTTTGGAAACTGAAACATGGAAACTGAAACAGTATTTGCTGTGTGAGCAAGAAGGAGACAGCAAGGAGCCTGGGCATGGCTTAGCTCAACTGTTCTGTGCTAAAGCTGCTTGGTGCTGCTGTGAAACTAAAACTGAAACTGAAACTCCTCTCCTCTGCTTGTGTTTTGCCTTTGGAAGAGATTTCTTTTCAGGTGGGGAGGGGGAATAGAACTCCTTAGTATCAGAGAGTGTTAATAAAAATATAGGAAATACTCCAAATGCTCTGGTGGTCGTTTTGAAAAATCCTTTCTTAGTGAGCTCCTAGAAGCCGAGAGGAACATACGGGCCCAATTTCAAGTTTGTAGGCTTTACAGTTCTGGAGATTTTGTGATGATGCAAGAGGGGCATTTCACGTTTAAATATATAGATTTGATTGTGATTGTTCTTCCTCTACTAAACAAATGTTCTCACTGAGTTGGTAGGAACCTCAACAGATGTCGGGTTTTATGTTGTCACAGAGTGCAAACATCTGAATTCTGATCACGTGACCGTGGGAATCCTGCAATGGTTATAAGTGAACAATGGTCATAAGTCACTTTTTTCAGGACTGTTGTTATTTAAAGCAGTTACTAAATGAATATTTGTAAGTCCAGGTTGACCTGTATTGTGTTTGGAAGCTTTGCTGCAGAGTCCTGGGTGGCTGTAGTTCGTCAATGCAAAAACCTGGAGATAATCTGGAGGGGTCTTCTAGGATGAATGAGGCAAGGCTGCTCCCTCTTTCCTTCCCTCCTTGACACGGTAGAAAGATTAGTAGAGGTGTACTACTCCACTGCTAGTTTCGAAGCTTCAATTAGCATCTATGTAGGAGGAGTGGTGGGAACCTGGAGGTGGAGTTAAAAGGGGCATCAGCCTTGAATCCCTATGTAGCTGCAAGCAAACTAAATCCAACTCTCCTTGAATTCCATCAACCATGAGTTGAGAAGATTCCTGCGCATAGGCTTTTAGCAATAAATCCATTTAATTGGACCTTCACATGTGGGCTTTTCCTGCCTGACTCTCCCTCAGTTTTTCCTAACAGCAAGATTCAGTGACCACCTGGTACCTTTTCAAGATATTTGAGCTTCCATAATTTTTGGGTTTCATCCGTGGTTTCCTATGACTTCCAGGCTAAGCCCTGGATTAATCTCACACTCTGTTACTTCTAAGGCACCTCCAAAGTTTCATCACTTGGTTTTTCTTCCACAGAAAGTTTCTTCTTTTTTAAAAAAAACCCATACATATTTATTCCCCAAAAGGATAACAGGCCGAGGTCCATAATGGACTTTCTATTTTTTTTTTTTTTTTTGTGGAGTCATTTGTGTCAGGAAGATATTGATTTTTTCTCTTGCAAAAGAGGATGTGACTCATGTTGATAGACTTTCAAGATGCACGCTTTCGCATATCAATAGTTCCCTTCCATTGTTCCTTCCTTCCCTTTATAGTAGATGGATCCATTTATTGGTTTAATAGTCTACTATATGATCACTCCGTGGAACAAGAGTTTCTTTTCTTTTTCTAAGCATACCACATACGTTGTGTTTCTCCAAAGTATTGCCCTCTTATCTGGACAACCAGTTTTCTCACCCCTCTTGGTGTAAAGATAGGAAAGCTGTTCCTCTTGATTTATCGGGGGGGGGATTTAGCGGGGCGTAGAATAGCTCACAATGTTGAGTCTCAACAGCCCTAGTTGATTTTGTTGATCCTAGTCTGTTGGGAATTGTCCGTTTGCTGACCCAACACCCTTTTCATCCATCGAGGCCTCCATTGAAGTCTTGATTTCTTCTGCCTTACAATTGGAACGTCCAATTTCAGAATCACTCAAGGACAATACAGAAGAAATCTTCCTGAGCTCCTTGGAAGACTTGTACAAGAAATTTTTGCTCAGCAATATAGACCTCTTAGAAAACTTTGCCCAGAAAATGTTTTATGCTATGCGATATCAAACCACCATGTTTTGTCTTTCTTCTTCTTCTTCTTCTTCTTCTTCTTCTTCTTCTTCTTCTTCTT